AGGTATGAAGGGAAGACCTTAAGCTAATGCTATAGATAAGACTGGAGGAATTTTAAAGCATGTGGTGCCCTGAGAATAAATAGCACCAATAAATCTCAAACCCATCTCTACTTCTGACCAGATCAATTCAACAAGCATGGTAAGATAATCTATACTAATTTCCAGGTATAAAGACCCTCTACCTCAGTCTCCACCATCACGGATGGCTTTCAATAAAATTTGTGAGGCATGCAATGAAGTGAAGAAAAAAATCTGTCAAGAGACTAATCAATCAAAAGAAATAAAATGTTGAAACTGTCAGGTAGTATATTTAAAATAGATGGAAAACATGAATCATTAGATGAGTGATTTCAGTAGAAAAATGGAAACTAAGAGAAAGAATGAATTGGAAATACTAAGAATAAAAAATACAGTTATAGGGATGAGGGAAATCTACAATAGAATCATCAGTAGACTTGACACCACACAGGAGGAGTCAATAAACTAGAGACAGATTTAAAAAAAAATGGAAACACAAAATAGAAAACACTGAAAAGATAAGAGTATCTAGGAGACATGGGACAATATTAAGCAGTTTAAAATGCCTATCATTGGAATCCCAGAAAGAGAAGAGTGAAATTGAGGCATGAGGAATATTTGAAAAGAGATGATGGCAAAGAAATTTTCAAAACTAATTATAGACATATAACCACAGATCCAAGAATCTCAGAGAACAGGAGGCAGAGTAATAGACTTTTGGCAAAAGTATAAAATAAATAAGTCATGGGGATGAAAAGTACAACATAGGGAATATAAGTCGATAATATTGTAATCATGAGGTATGGTGACGGATAGTGTGACCTCACTCATGGTGAACATCTAGTAATGTATAGAATTGCTGAATCGATATGTTGTACACCTAAAACTAATGTAACATTATATGCCAATTATACTTTAACAATAAATTTAACTTTTTTAAAAAAGAGAAACGATATCAGTGGTGGTTAGGAGCTTGGAATTGGGTGAGGAGTTGACAATACGGTCTACATATTGATTCGGTAGTGATGAAACAACTGCATGCAGTTGTAAAAACTCAAGGAACGTGGCACTAATAACTGAACTTTACCGTGTGAACATTATACCTTAATTCAAAAAATGGAAAATAGGTACCACAGAGGAAGATAAAATTGTGGATGTTTTTAATACTCTTTTGATTGTGTTTTTTGATTTCTCTGGAATAAGCACCAATTTCTTTTATAAAAAATAAGATGAAAATTTTAAAAAATGTTTATCTTAGAGAGAGAGAGAAAGCATGAGTAGGGGAGAAGCAGAGAGAGGGGGAGACACAGCTGTCAGAACAGAGACTGACATGGAGCTCGAACTCATGAACTGCAAGATCATGACCTGAACCAAAGTCAGATGCTTAACTGACGGAGCCACTCAGGCCGAAACATTTTTTAAAAAAGATTCCCAAAAATTGGATCAATTATTTTATTATATTATTGTTGTTGTTACTTTTAATAATCTCTATGCCCAACATAGGGCTCAAACTGATGACCCCGAGATCAAAAAGTCACCTGCTCTACCAACTGAGCCAGTCAGGTGCCCCTGGGTCAAGGAGTTTAAAATGGTGAGTATTTCTTACCCATTAGTTTAATAATATGCACTGTTTATAAATGTGATAATGATATGATTATTAAGAACAGTGTTCTCAGAAGTATTAATTGGGATATTAATTTGGTAATATTATGTTCATATTCTTTGATCCAGAAATTCCACTTATGGATATTTAACCTAAAAATATGTTGGCTTACAGGCACTACATGAACATTGCTTCAAATTAAGAGTAATTCAAACTAATTGAAGTGACCAACAATAAAATAAGAATTAAATAGGTCATGATAAATTTGCTTTTGAATACGACTGCACTTTATGACCATGTTCTGACACATAAAGATTTATAACACATGCTGTTAAAGAAGAAATGCAAGTTACAAACAGAAGTTCAGTAGCTTTCATTACTAATCATTACAGATGAACTGATTACTAAGTGCTTCATATAGATGCCTTGTTTAATGGCCACCACGGATATAACTATTTTCACAAATGGAGAAAATGGGGCATTCAGTTTGGATGACTGTTTTATAATCAGACCCACAATGCGCTACTTTCAAGATCTGTAGAGATATTTCTTTGCCTCTTGGATACCTTAAAACCACTTGGTACAAACTACAGCAATACAGTGTCTGTGATGGCAGATATGTATCTCTGAGTTGTGAGCTTCTCTTGGGTCCCGCACTTCAAATCTAGGGGAAGTTCCAGCTTCTCACCTACTTCAGGCTGGGGTTGAGGAGGGGCTTCAAAGGGTGGCAAAATACAAAAATGGAAGATACAGAAGGTCCATGGCATTAGAGGACGAAGTTATTTAGGTGAAAACAAAATCCTCAGTTTGTTCTCAGCGTTCAAGAGTCTCTCATGGTTTGCCTCTCTTCCCTTCCCCCACGATTTCCCCCCTTCTGAGAACAAACTGAGGACTGATGGGTGTGGGGGGGAGGGGGGAGATGGGCATAGAGGAGGGCACTTATGGGGATGAGCACTGGGTGTTATATGGAAACCAAATTGACAATAAACTATTTGTAAAAAGAATAATAAATGCTTAAATACAGAAGTGTAAGCATAAGAAAAAAAGAAAACAAAATCAAAGACCCAAATCCTTTAGGGTGGAGGGTCACTTCTTGTTTCTCTCCTTTAGAAACACTATGTGTTTAGAAGTAACAAGTTAAGAGGGAATCACCATGACTGTACAGAAGCCATGGAACTGGTTGGGCAGGTCACTGGAAGACCTCATTCTCTAACTCTTTATCACCATTATCTACAGATAGTCACTTGCAGGAAGTTTGTATAAAGTAATAAGAATATAAAATAATAAGAGTAAGAACGTGTAGATGATGAGTATGTAATTCAGAATACAACCTTCATTTCTGTGTGGAGCCATCCTAATCCTCAGAGTCCACAGATCAGGTCTGATGTGGAGGAAGTTTCCGCAGGTGGAGACATCTTCTCAGCATGAAATCTGTTGCCTAACTAGTTGAGGGACGTTATGATGTTGACGACTTCCCTCAATCTCTCTAAACTTCATATTTTTCATTGCAGATGAAGAAACCAGATTCAGCACTTCCTTGTTAAAACTTTTTTTCACATTTGTTTATTTTTGAGAGACAGAGAAAGACAGAGCACAAGTGGGGGAGGGGCAGAGAGAGAGTGAGACACAGAATCCGAAACAGGCTCCAGGCTCTGAGCTGTCAGCACAGAGCCCGACACGGGGCTCAGACTCACAAACTGTGAGATCATGACCTGAGCCAAAGTCAGATGCTCAACCAACTGAGCCACCCAGGTGCCCCAGATTCAGTACTTCTAAGTTCCCTCACTGTCAGATTTTCCCAAAAGTGACCCAAATTATCTTGAATGTATATCTATACTATAAATACTATGTATATACTATATTTCATATATATTGTACATTTATCTATTCTATAATATGTTATTAACATTATTAACTAATATTTTAATGTATATTATTATTAATATATGTTATTAGAATGATATTGGGCAAGGAGATAAACATAAGTCTGTATTTTACTCTTGCCATCTAAGCCTACCAGAATAAAAGACACACATTCATAAAGGAAGCAGTACAGGGGAGGACAACTTATTTTTCCATAGACCTGGGCCCCAAACCATAAAGGCAGATCTGTAATGCCTCTTTTCCTAGATCAGTTGCACGTAAACATCCTTGGACCTTCACAGAGGGAGACACCTCATTCCATTCTTCTCAACTTCTGCCTCATCCTCACTTCTCTCCCTCTAACACCTCCCCCAACCAGAACCACGGCCTGATTCTCAATCAAGGACAATGACTGACCATCTGAGTATCATTAGGGAAGTGATTTCACTTTTCCGTTCCTTCTTTTTCTCACATTAGGAGAGTAAAAAGGAGAAAACTATCAACCATCTAGAGCTAGGCTGAAGATCAAGCGACACAAAATGCTTGTAAAACACCAGGTAGTAAAAATGTGACCAAGAAATCTATTGTAAATGTCAGGTTTGGGATATCTCCTTTCTGCCGTAGAATTTTATAATACATGAATTATTCTTAGGTGCTTGCCCGATGCAGGTCTTTTGCCTGAGGCAACTTCCTGATGGAATCCACATAGGATGAGATCCAGCATGAGATCCAGGAGACTTGGCCAGAGAACTATGAGCTCTTGGTGCTCGAGTAAGGGAATGGAGCCAGTCATTCCACATCAAACGGGGCTAGAATCACGTGCAACACATAAGAGTCTTCATGTAAATTGCCCGAAGGTGACTTATTTGGCAGAATAATTAGCATTATGCCTCTTCAGGGGAACCAATTCTGAATAGATTCCCACTTTTCTGAGCTAAAGCAATCCTTTCCTAGGAAACAGGGCTTAACAACTGCAGCACAGAGAATTTCTGTGCTGACATGTGCACTCAGCAGGGTTTCTCTGAGCATGGCAGAGCCTGTTAAACATGTCTGTTCTTGATCCCAGCCTTCCCTTGTCAAGGTCGCACCCAAAGCATAAATGCAAATATTGCTTTGGGCCTGTGTGCTCCAACCTGATCTACAAGTCACAAATGATTTACTTTTTTTTTTTCATATTCTTTTCTTTTACTATTTACTTTTTAAATTTAAATCCAAATTAGTTAATATCTAGTGTTGTAAAGGTTTCAGGAGTAGAACTTAGTGATTCATAACTTACATATAACACCCAGTGCTCATCCCAACAAGTGCCTTCCTAAATGTCCACCACACATCCCATCACCCAACTCCCCTCCAGCAACCCTCAGGGGTTTTTTTGTATTTAAGTCTCTTACAGTTTGCCTCCCTCTCTGTAAATGATTCACTTTTAAGCAATGTGCTTATGAATTAGACTCCTGTTATAGCACAGTTTTAGAAAAAGTTTATTATTTTTTAAAAATTATAAAAAATATATATGCAAAATATGGCATTAGGGTGGCACAGAAAGGTATAAAAAAGAAAATGAGAAGTATCCATTAACACTCTATTTCCTAGAATTAATAGCTGGTATATCTATCACTGAATTTCTATCACATACATATATAGCTTTTCTGTATTTGGATTTTATTTCCATATACATCGTTAACTGCATCCAGGTCTTTAGAAGGACATTATGATAAGTTTTGCATATACAAATAGGGATTGAGTTGTTCTTTCTTGTTTTTCCTGGGCTTGATGACCTTGAAGAAGAAAGAGATGAAGTTAGAGCAGTTGAGAGGTAGCTAATTCTACCTTTCTCCCTGCACTAACGCTGTCTTCTGACCACCAGTTTCATCCCCTTTTCCCTTTTTTTTCTGTAAGGTTCTTCTCACTCTTCCTTCAATGAATGAGTCATCTCCCACCTTGGTTGAGACCCTAAAATGAGGTAGTCACTCACACACAAAGCATACGTGCATGTGGAAGGGCAGGAGAGAGGAAGGAGCAGGTCTACTCAATGCCAAGGTTGAGGGGGAAGGTTTTCACTGGGAAGACAGGTAGGAGGGGGGTTAAGGCTGGAATGGAAAGGCTGGAAGGTTTGAAAGTCTCAGAACTGGAGATATCTAAGAGTGTGGACATTGGTTTGGGTCTGGATGTGTAAACCTTTGATCTATTTTATTCTGGTACTAGTCTTTGAGGGTCTTCCCACAATCTCATGTGGACAAACAGCATGGACTTAGTCCTGTAGAACCAACCCCCTCTGTCTGTGTATCTCACTAAAGGCAGGTCACTTTGTGTTTTGAGGTACTCAGGGGCACTCTTGATCATTTAGGTCCGGTGTGAGCCCTGTTTGCCTTCCTCTGGGATAGATGGCATTTCCCCCATGTTAGAGATGGTGAACCCAAGGTTTCTGGTGCTCACCTTCACTATCCAGTTAGAAAATCATAGAGCTAGGTTTTGAAAGAAATAAACCTTAATGAAACCCAAATTTACTACATAATCTCACTGCTTTGATGGATTGAACCAACTTTGTAGTAGTAAGCTAGGTATTATATCTTTTGAAGGCCTCTCTGGGGCTTCTCTCTCCAACACAATTCAAAACCTCCTTCTTAAAGAAAGAAAGAATGATAGAAAGGACAGTTGGCCTAGTTTTCTTTAGGTCTTCAACATTGGAATAATGCTGTTCCCCAGAAGTTCCCACCTTGATGAAACTGTGAGTTACAGATCTAAGCTGTCTCAGAGTCCCACTTAGTTCAAAGCAGATGAGGGAGAGTTTGTCGCCTTCTTCACAGTTGACTTTGGTCAGTCGTCCATACACCATGACACCCATCTTCCCTGTATTATCTTGTATTTCATAGAAAATGATGCTTTGATTCAACACCTTTTTCTGCAAAAGAAAATCATCACCCTCCTCCTCAGAACTGGATCAGCTTTCCATATCTAGAGAAACACAGGGTGTGGGTGGAAAATTTTGTCTCCAACAGGTTAATATGTACTGGAGGTCCAGAAAGAGGGGTAAAAAATAGCTTAAGATGCTTTGTTTAGAGAATTCTCCTTATGAGTCTGAGGAGGATTGCCATTAATCCTCATTAAATAGATTATGTCATTTCAGTCTGTATTTCTTTCCTGTACATTCACTATTCACTCTTCCCAATCTGCCCAAATCCTGAATCTCGATCTTCTAGTTACATTATTCTAGGTTCCTTCTCCCTCAGTGTACTGCACATACACCTGTGTGCACAGCCACTTACATGGGGCACAGGAGACAACACAGGTAGAAGGAAAAAGCTGCATTTCAGGGCAGAGTTATCTGTTGACTTCCTACTCGGATGGTCACAACTAGCATTCAAGTTTGGGAGGACAATTCTTTACTCACAATCAAGTTAAGCTGTCACTGAAATGGATAAGACAGAACTCAAACAAAATCATAAGGATATGTGTACTGATAGAAAATTTGCACTGTACTGGGCCAGGGTGCCTGTGAATGGATCATCGTATCTGATAAATGTTAAGGATTTGGGGAAATATTTTTCTGTAGAATTTTATGGCACTGCCTTTGGAAGAGGAAAATGAAAAATTTTTTCTATCTCACATCCTGAAGTGGGAAAATTCTACCCAACTACCCTGGTCATTGGAGCCATGAGTTCTTTTGTTTCAGAAGTTAACCAGACCCTTCTGTGCTGACTGCTGGCTCAGAGCCTGGAGCCTGTTTCAGTCTGTGACTCCCTCTCTCTCTGAACCTCCCCTGCTCACGCTGTCTCTCTCTCTCTCTCTCCTAGAAATAAATAAAACATTAAGAAGAAAAAAAAAGAAGTTAACCAGACCCCACTTGGCAAGTTCAGACCTTCAAATTCTGGGGGTACAGAAAAAATAGTACAAAACAATGGTGTGGGCTTACCTTATGCACCTGATACACCCCGCTCACAAATGTTCCTGTCTCTTCCAAGAGAAGATCCTTGATTTTTCGAGTTGCGTTTGCATTTTGGATCAGTCTGCCTGAGACCTCCATCTTTCGGTCAGGATTAACATCAGACACAGAAGAGAGATTGTACACCTCCAGGAATCCGTTGCGGCCAATATAATCTGATATGGTGATCACTCTCTTTGGGATGAACTTCTCCTTCAAGCTGACATGAAAAACCTTCACTTGGAAGAATTGGCTCTCGGTAACCACAGTGGCATGAAACATGTGTCTCTCTTCTCCCATGACGTCGTATGCAAATGGCTCTGTTGCTTTCAGCACCATCACTTCCTTGGGGCCTGTCTGTAAACCCTCTTCCTTGGAAGCTTTTGTAGGTACAGCCTTCAATCTTGGTTTCTACTTGGAAGTACACATCAAAAAGTGGCACAGTTAAGAAAGGGAATACACAGTCTCTTTCTAGTGAGTGTCACCTTAGGCTTAATATTGAGCCTCTAGAAACACTCAGCTTGGATGGATTTGGGGAAAAAAATGATCTAGACAGAGATGGCTGACCGGTCATAAGGTAGCCTGTGGAAGACATGGAGAAGAGTTACATGTCATTGTACTTATTTTATCCATTGTTTTATAAATTTGGGAGGAATATTATTTTTTCTGTTAAAGGGATTAACCCAAGATAAAAAAAAATTTTTTTGAGGAGAGCTCTGGCAAGCATAGAGGAAGAGGGAGATAGCCATGCCTTTGTGATGGGATTCCCATTAGACATGAGGGTAAATATATTATCTTAATTTACCAATCAGCATTTTAGTGAGCAAAGTAAGACATACAAAGGAAAGAAAATAAATCACTCTAACAGCACTGACAGTGGGACCGGCTTTAGTCAGAAACCACAGATTTTATCTGGAACCGATCCCAGGAGATGTCACAATTGAAAGAAGGAAGCCATGAGCCCTTTTTTAAGAAGTGCTGTGCTAGAAAGAGATTAGTTAAGCAATCACTGGAGAAGCTCATAAACTTTCGTAATTTAATAATGTCCTGGCTCCAAGCTTTTGAACAGCAGAAGGATGAGCTTTCTGAAAACATGCTTCCCTGGCATTGAATTATTTTGACTTCATGATTCTAAAAAACAGAAGACATAGAAAAAGCTCTACAAAGAGAAAAGAAATCCCCCTAAATGTTAAAGCATTAGATCACAAAGCCTGTTTTTGAATCCAGCACCAAGTAAATGCCTAGTGCACAGAAATACATCATCATTGTTTTTCCGTGTTTTTTTTTTTTTTTAATCCTGTAGTCTGCCCCGATAAACAGATATTTCATGCTTTGTGTTGACCCTGTTGGTGGAATCTTTGTTAGAGGGATATCCTTATAAAAGAAGTTTCTTCTTTTGGATCAGCCACATATATTCAGTAATCTTATTGACAAGATCATCTAGAGCTATTGCCTTTTAAATATCAGTCATCATAAACTGGCATGACAGGAATAGGGCTTGGAGGCTGAGAAAATAACATTGGTTTGGATAATATTTTGAAGGCATAAGCAGGTCATTTTCTCTCAGAGTATATTCTCCACTTCCCACCTTATTCATGAATCATGCTGTCCTGTGCTATTTCCTTCAAGGACATATAATAACAGAAATCAAAGGTGATAGTGATCTGTTTCTGGCTTTGAATTAAAAAAGCAAACAGAACCCACACTCTAGAGAAAATTGTTGGGAGTCCCCATGTGAATAAGATCAAAGCTTTCATGCTCCCCTAATTAAGTACAGACTGAAAGGTCAGGTATCTTTTTGAAGGTCTCCTGTGCAAGTGGCCAGATCTCAGAGAAGCAATGACTACGTAGTGTGTTTATGTGTAAGAGCTTGAGGGTGCAGATGAACCTCCTGAGGTCCCTCCCATGGGGGATTCACTGCAGCAGAAGGATTCTGACAGGAGAAAAGATGACAATGCCCCAAGATGGCAGATGGGGACATAGCAAGTCACTTCCAAGTCAATACTGTACCCCCAAGTGTAGGCAACCACCATGGTCATGTCATGGTGGGACAGAGGTGAGCTAGGATGGAGTGGATGCAGGCCTGGGCACTCACCTCTCCATCCTAGTCTAGTCTTTCCCTATAATTTGAAGTTATTTTCACATAAAAGGAGAAGGTACATTCGTTATAGTGGTGATAAAAGCTGGAAAAGAGAAATAAAGGGACCTGTGAAATCGAGCAGAGGAAAAATATGATATATTGTGGGGACACATCAGTGAGGTGTTGCTGGGGGAAAGGGAGGTGTCTGAAGATGGGTGTATCCGGGTCAGTGAAAAGACAGGAGTAATGAATTCCCAGCCACAGAAATAGCTTATGTCTACACATCTGAGGTGGGAAGAAGCCCCGAATGTGGGAAATGAATCCAGAAGTATGGTCAGTAAGCCAAGGGGAAAGGGAAAAAAGAGACAGGAATCTAAGCGCTAAATATCTTCCCATGTTCATATTTAATGGTCTGGCCACCCCCTACCCCTACTCCTCAAGTCGGTAACCCTCTTGAGATCAGGAATTACTTCAAAATGCATACTTTCAAATAGCAAAGGACTTGTACTACACTGAAATCTCACTATCTGCATTTAATAAGCTAATGAGTGACTTTTGTTATGTAAGGAAATTATACATAGTAGGGAAATGCTGAGGAGCTCTTTACAGGTCATGATGATTCCTGTACTATGTTGTAGAGAGAGGTACAAGTATGGAGGAGAGCAAGATGGTACCTTGGTCGCAGAACTGGAGCCTGGGGTTGGTGGAAGCATCTGAAGAGGGTGAGGGAAGCTCCCAGGTGACTGTGCACCTGTTACTGCAGGTTGTCCAAGCTGACCCCATCCCTGCATTGGCTGCATCATCTCAGGCTTTTCAGTTTTTATGGTTTGTGTTTTCTTGATCTGAAAGTAGCTTTCTTCCCCCTGGATAATAGTTTTCAGTATCAGATGAACCACAATCTCTCTCTTCCTTTAACTCTCTCTCTCTCTCACTTACCAACTCTTATGCACACTCTCTTTCTCTCCCTCATCTCTCTCTGTCTCTTTCTCTCTCTCTCTCTCTTTTTCTCTCTGTGTCTGTAACACATACATGTGTGAATGGGCACGCGTGCGTGCACAGGCGCGCACACACACACACACACACACACACACACACACACCAGGATCTTCACTCGGAAATACTAGCACATATTAGGATACCTCCATCCACTCCCCAGCTTGGACCCCAGCCAGGATTACAAACACCCTTCTGCAAATTTTAACAACACAGATGACTGATATTTCATTGTAATGTTATGCAATTCTAGTTCTGCCTTTGCTTCAAAGGACCCTATGTCAAGTTCCTCAAGACAACATGTGGATTGTGGACTGGGAGAAAACCCTACCCAGCTCCATTGGAAGCTGGTCTCACAATGACTTTGCCTGCACTTAGGGATATTTCATTAAACAAGATTTTTTACAGCCTTGTGCTTTGGCAGATAGGCCAATTCATTTCTATCACCTGTCTTTCAGGTGTAGAAAACCTGTGAATGCTTTATATATCAACCAGACAGATCCCCCAGGTTCATAACTCAAGAGGCAGGATTCTGCACCCGGCAGCCAAATCCTTCAGGGATCTCAAGGATAGCAAACCCAATAAAGATTTCACCCAGGCTTTCCCAGTCTCTGGATTTTTGTGATCATTTCGGGAATGCAGAGAAGAGTCTGTAACATCATTTGTCTTGACTACTTTTACTATTACTAACCAAAGCCCATGGGTACCATTCTGCATGTACAAGAGGCTGAGGGAGAAGATGAGCCTCTATTCGGGTCCCTGTGCACCAAGAAGGATTCAGGAAGGCAGAACTATTCTCATGAGAGTAGAAATTCTCATGGGAGTCATTTGTTTAAGGAGTCACCTGTTTAGGTAGAAAGGGACTTAGAAAGTGTCACTTTGAAGCCAGTATACATGGCAAAAGTAGAGTTATCTTGAGATGTGCCCATATGTAATTGTCACTGAAGACAGTCAGAAGCTGCTATTGTTATTGTTATGTTAGGAAATTATACATAGTAGGGGATTACTGAGAAGCTCTTTACAGGTCATGATGATTCCTGTACTATGTTGTAGAGAGAGGTACAAGTATGGGTAAGGGCAAGATGGTACCTTGGTCAAGGAACTGCAGCCTGGGGTTGGTGGAGGCATCTGAGGAGGCTGAGGGCAGCTCCCAGGTGACCATGCACCTGTTACTGAAGGTTGTCCAAGCTGACCACTTCCTTGCGTTGGCTGCATCATCTCAGGTTTTTCAGTTTTTATGGTTTGTGTTTTCTTGATCTGAAAGTAGTTTTTTCCCCCCTAGTTAATAGTTTTCAGTATCAGATGAACCACAATCTCTCTCTCTCTCCTATTTCTGTCTCTCACTTTCCAACTCCTCTGCTCCCTCTCCTCTTTCCCTCACTCTGTCTCTCTGTTTCTCTCAGTCTCTCTGTCATTCTATCTGTCTGTCTCTGTCAAACACACGTGCGTGTGAGCCCTCAGACACACACACACACACACACACACACACACACACACCAGGATCTTCACCCAGGAATACTAGCACTTACAGGATACCTCCATCCACTCCCCAGCTAGGATCCCAACCAGGATCACAAACATCCCTCTGCAAATTTTAACAACACAGATTATTGAACTTTCATTGGAATGTTATGCAATTCTAGTTCTGTCTCTGCTTCAAAGGACCCTATGTCAAGTTCCTCAAGACAACACGTGGATTGTGGACTGGGAGAAAACCCTACCTGGCTCCAATGGAAGCTGGTCTCTGAACAACTTTGACTGCACTTTGGGATATTTTACTAATAAAGTTTTTTACAGCCTTCTGCAGTCACAAATAAGCCAATTCATTCCTATCACCTGTCTTTCAGGTGTAGAAAACCTGTGAATGCTTTATATATCAACCAGACAGATCCCCCAGGTTCATAACTCAAGAGGCAGGATTCTGCACCCGGCAGCCAAATCCTTCAGGGATCTCAAGGACAGAAAAACCCAAGAAAGATTTCACTCAGGCTTTCCCAGTACCTAGATTTCTGTGATTCTTTCAGAAAGTGCAGGAAGAGTCTGTAACATTATTTGTCTTGACTACTTTTAACGTTACTAACCAAAGCCCCTAGGTACCATTCTGTATCCAATATGCATTTACCACCACTCTTACCACTTTTAGCATCTATATGAGTAGTTCATCAGGTGTGGCTTGTTGATAAAGTTGTAGAAGTGGGAGCTTCTGGAAATACCTGCCTCTGGCAGCCAGCTTCCTGATTGGAACACCCTCGGACCACCCCCGACACCTCATTCCTATTTTGAGGGCTTATAGGGCCTTGGGTATGGAAAGAAGTCCATCTGTGACACCGTCTATTCTGATGTTTAAAAGAATTTAAGAAATATTGTAACATCCACACACATACATAGATTCTGTATGTGCCCATCAAATACTCAAGTCTTGGTGCCCTGACACTCACTATCTGTGTGACCTTTGCAGTATGTGTTTAACCTCTATGAACATCAGTGTTCTTATAGGCAAAATGGGACTAACAACAGCACCCTGAGTGATAAATAATTAATGCTGTTATAAAGACAAAATGAGATTATGGACACAGAGCACACAGGTTTTAGAGTAAAACACACTACGTGGTCAATAGACAATGATGTCAATATTGTGATTGCTGTGTCATGAACTACCCAGAGAATTTGTATTACTGCTCTGATCTGAAGAAGCTTTATGTTGTATGGGAGTCCCTCCTGATGGAAAGGGAAATACTTTAATAAAGAAGCTTCTTTCTTCACTTCTGCCACTGGAAGCAATTTATCTCATTGGCAAGAGCATCGATATTCTCTCGATATCAGGGAAAGTGAAAGCTTCTATATTAACAGTAGGTTTTAGATGCTGTAATTATTCTTTCTGACTGGATAACATTAATAATAATAATTGATTTCGTCCCCTCACAGATTATTTCCTTCATCACTCTGCTCTGTTCTAGAAACATAACAATCAGAGCTCTTTGCTTTAGAAGAGACGTAGCTCTAGGAATCTAGAGGCAAATTGGTTTGAACTTGTTTTTTTGGAAAAAATGAACAGTTCCCACACTGTAGAGAAAATCATTGGGAGACCCCATGATGAATCAGAGCAAGATTTTTGTGCTCATTTAATGAAAAAAAGACTGAACAATCAGACCCTCATGTTACTCCTGTACAGGGGGCTGGACCCCAGAGAAGTTACTTCATGGTGTGTTTATGTACAAGAGGCTTGGGAGCAGTTGAGCCTCTGTGAAGTCCCTGTGCACCAAGGAGGATTCAGGAGAGCAGATCTATTTTCATGGGAGTAGAAATTCTTATCGGTGTCATTTGTGTAAGAGTCACCTTTTCAGGCAGAAAGGAACTTAAACGTATAACTTTCAAGCCAGTCTACATGGAGAAGTAGAGTTATCTTGAGATGTGCCCATATGTCATTGTCATAGAAGAGAGACAGTGGCTGTTGTGATTGTTATTGTGTTAGGAAATTATACGTAGTAGGGAATACTGAGAAGCTCTTTACAGGTCATGATGATTCCTGTACTATGTTGTAGAGAGAGGTACAAGTAGGGGAAGAGCGAGATGGTACCTTGGTCGCAGAGCTGCAGCCTGGAGATGATGGAGGCATCTGAGGAGACTGAGGGAAGGTCCCAGGTGACTGTGCACCTGTTACCGAAGGTTGTCCAAGTTGACCCCATCCTTGCATTGGCGGCATCATCAGAGGTTGTGCAGTTTTTATGGTTGGTGTTTTCTTTTTCTGAAAAAAGTAGTCCCCCCCGCCAATTAATAGTTTTCAATATCTGGTGAGCCACAATCGTGCTCTCTCTCTCTCTCTCTCTCTCTCTCTCTCTCTCTCTATCACACACACACACACACACACACCCCAGGATCTTCACTATGAAAACTCCAACATATATGATACCTCCATCCATTCCCCCCTTGGATCCCAACCAGGATCACAAACATCCCTCTGCAAATTTTAACAACACAGATTATTGAACTTTCATTGGAATGTTATGCAATTCTAGTTCTGTCTCTGCTTCAAAGGACCCTATGTCAAGTTCCTCAAGACAACACGTGGATTGTGGACTGGGAGAAAACCCTACCTGGCTCCAATGGAAGCTGGTCTCTGAACAACTTTGACTGCACTTTGGGATATTTTACTAATAAAGTTTTTTACAGCCTTCTGCAGTCACAAATAAGCCAATTCATTCCTATCACCTGTCTTTCAGGTGTAGAAAACCTGTGAATGCTTTATATATCAACCAGACAGATCCCCCAGGTTCATAACTCAAGAGGCAGGATTCTGCACCCGGCAGCCAAATCCTTCAGGGATCTCAAGGACAGAAAAACCCAAGAAAGATTTCACTCAGGCTTTCCCAGTACCTAGATTTCTGTGATTCTTTCAGAAAGTGCAGGAAGAGTCTGTAACATCACTTGTCTTGACTACCATTACCCTTACTAACCAAAGCCCATGGGTACCATTCTGCATCCAATACGCATTTGCTACAACTCTTACCATATTTAACATCCTTTTGACTAGTTCATCAGATGTGACTTGCATATAAAGTTGAAGTGGAAGCTTCTGAACATTCCTGTCTTTGTCAGGAAGCTTCCTGATTGGAAAACCCTGGGACTACCCTCCACATTATTCCTCTTTTAAAGAGCTACTAAGCCTGAGCTTTGGAAGTAAGCCCACCCATGACGCTGTCTATTCATATATTTTAAAACCCTGGGTGATAAATAATAAATGCTGTTATAAAGATGAAATGCAATCATGGATATAGACCACACAGGTTTCAGAGTCCGCACACACTACATGGTCAATACACAGAGGTGTCAATATTGTCATTGCTGTGTCATGAACTACACAGGGAATTTTCCTTAGTGCTCTGATCTGCATAAGCTTCATGTCATATGGGAGTCCCTCTTAAGGACACGGGAAATACTTTAATAAAAAAGCTTCTCTCTTCACTCTGCCACAGGTAGCAATTTATCTCATTGACAAGAGCATCTTGATATTCTCTCAAAATCAGGGAAAGTTAAAGATTTGTTCATAACAGTCGCATTTAGATCGTGTAAACACTCTTTTGACTGGATAATATTCAACATAATAATTGATTTCCTCCCCTCACAGATTATTTCCTTCATCACGCTGCCCTGTTCTAGAAACATGATGATCAGAGTTGTTTGCTTTAGCAGAGACGTAGCTCTAGGAATCAAGAGTGAAGCTGGTCTACACCTGGTTTTGAGGAAAAAGTGAACAGCTCCCATACTGTAAAGAAAACCATTGGGAGACACCATGATGAATTAGAGCAGGATTTGGTGCTCATCTAATGAAGAAAAGACTGAACAATAAGACACCAAGTTTGCTCCTGTACAGGTGGCTGGACCGCAGAGAAGAAGTCACTCCATGGTGTGTTTATGTACAAGAGGCTTGGGAGCAGATGAGCCTCTGTGAGGTCCCTGTACACTAAGGAGGATTCATGACAGCAGATCTATTCTCATGGGAATAGAAATTCTCAAGGGAGTCATTTGTTTAAGGAGTCACCTGTTTAGGCACAAAGGAACTTGGAATGTGTGACTTCCACCCCAATCTACATGGCAAAAATAAAGTTATCTTGAGAAGTGCCTATATTTGGGGCACCTGGGTTTCCCGAAGGATGGAATCAAGAGGACTATGGGGAGGTGAGGAGGCACAGGGTGGGAACAGAGAGTCTTTCTGGCTGCAATGGCATGGGGGAAGTGAGTGACAAAGGAATGGCCTTGAAGTCACACCAGAGCATCCAGTGGGCAAGACCAGAGCTTCACGCGTGGGCCTGGGGTCAGGAAGACGAGGCCTTGTGCCACGTGCAGACAGACATTCTTTATTGAGAGACCTCCAAGCGCTATGCGGGACATGACATAAGCTGGGTCACTGGGTCACAGTGCAGGGACCCCGCCAGGGGCACTGTGGCATAAAGGGCACTGTCACTAATCGACTGGTGGGGAAACCGCTGGGGAGGCTGAAGCTTAAGAGGGACACCATGGGCTCAGAGACACCAGGTGATGCAGCTTCAAGTGACAGTAAAACAGAAGCAACCCCACCCTTTGAAGGCGATGCCCACCGGACCCCTCACTGCCAGGCATCCAGAGCTCAGCTCGACTGGCCACTAGCAGGGAAGGA